ACTTACAAATGGAGTTTAAAGAGAGTGTTTTTCGAAGTGTAGAGAGAGAGAGAGAGAAAACGTCTTTTTGTTCCTTTTTTTTTTTATTTTGTTTTCATATTAAATCCCAATTTGGCCCCCATTTTTGTAGAAATGAAAATAAATGGAATAGTATTTTTTTTTTAAAGATAAGTGGTTGAAAAAGAAGAAATTTTTTTCGATTTACATGTAATATTATTTTATAAAAGATTGTGTGATTGAAAATAGGAAAGCGAAAAATGAAATGTAATGAAATGAAAATTAATAGAACCAATTGGGGGCTAATTATTGATACTTTTGATAGTAACTAAAAGTGACTATTAGTCTTCTTTATACTGTCAAAAAATAAATAAAAACTACTCAAAAATTAAAAGTGTGTTTGATTGACATGGAAAATATCACCTAGAAAAGAAAATATTTTCCATTTTTTGTGGAAAATAAAAACCACCTCTACCCGAGGAAAATATTTTCCTTAAAAACAAGGAAAATTAGGCATATTTTCAAAAGTTGAAAATTGTTTTCCATGAAAAAGAATAGCAATCAAACACTCCAAATAGGAATTTGAGTGGAAAACTGATATTTTCCATGGAAAACAAATGTAATCAAACACACCCTAAATGCTTTTAAATTGAGCCAAATATTTCGTTTTACTAAAATGAAAACATCAACTAGGATCGAGAATTGCTAGTCAAAAAAATGAAAATCAAAGTTTAACATAAGACATTTGATTTCAGGGTAAACCGATCGATTTTAGTTTGGAATGATATTTAACATAAAATTTCTAATTTCTCAATTTTTGACATACAAATATATTTTCAATTGAACCTGCTAGTTTGATTTGTTTCTAAAATTACGTCGAAAATATTATCCTTGTTTGATCTCCATTTTTTGGTAAAAATATATTTTTCAACAGTGTTTTGAAATCATTTCAATCACACATTTATTTTACACACAAATTTAAAATTTTTCCTTATTTTTTAACCACACATTTTACATCAATACATTATTCAAAAATTCATTCTATCCCCAAAATGGGGCTCAAACAAGGGCATTGTCTTCAAAAAAATAAAATTTAGGGCTTGTTTGGTAGTGGTTTTGAAAATTAATTTTTTTATCATTGGAAAAAAAATGGGTCCTATTTAAGAGAGAAAAAGTAAAAAATTACAGTTTAAAAAATAAAATAACGATGAAAAAATTGATTTTTTGAAATGAAAAAATCAATACAAAAGACGCACTTAATTACTTTCGGAACCAAAATTGGAAGTGACAGCAGTGGAAAATGTCAATTGGCCATTAAATATAATAAAGAAAACTATTATTGGGATTGATGTTTTCTCTTTATTGGCAAATTACTATCTTAACCTCCTGTTTTGCTAGTGCCAGAGCTCACTGTATTCTCTTATTGAGTTTTCCCAAGAAACAGACAAAAAAGTTGGTTGGAATTATTAAAAACAGTTGAGTTGAATAATTGTGCATGGGTCTTCGATTAGATCTATGATGTTAAGTAGTCGGCAGTGAAACTTCCACTGCTCTGTGTTACACTCAGGCCCAGTTGGCATTATGTGTTTTTTTTTTTTTTTTTTTTTTTTTTCCTTCTATTTAAGCCCCCATTTTGGCCCCTATTTTGTAAATATGAAAATTGGTGGATAGTGTTTTTTTTTTTAAATGAGTAATTTAAAAAGAATAAAAAAATTTCGATTTACGTATAATATTATTTTATGAAAGATTATATGGTTAAAAATAGGAGAAAACGATAAAATGTAATGGAATGAAAATTAATGGAGGGCTAAATTGTATCATTCTTGAAATTAGTCAAATATGTTCAACCCTCGAGTGGTTTTTTCTTGATTCACCTTCCATCAACATCGTGCGAGTCTCACTTCTAGAATCTTAGGTATAAATAAATTGAAGTTTCATTGCAATCAAGGATACGGACCAACCTGTGATTGTGAAATTGGCAATCGAAAGTGCGATTTTTTGTGGAGAAACATTCGTATTTTTTAAGCTGGAGGTGGATTTACTCCTTTCAGCCTAAACATGCCCTAAGCTAATTGACAAATGGCAAATCCATCATTAGAGCCCATCAAAGAGTTGGGAGTAAAGGCCCATTATAAAAATCAGTCCATTAATCCATCCCATGATTTTCAGCCTGGCAATGATTCAACGAAGCCCTCGATCCATAAGTCATGGACCAGTTGTGTGAAATGAAGCCAATATAAGTCAAAAAGTAATTTCTCGAAGGGAGTCCGTTGGATAGACGATTCTCAAGCAAAAAATCATGGAACAATTGTTTATCCTCGTTTCTTGAAAATTGAATAATTTTTGACAAACAATTCTCAAGCATCAAATCATCGGAACAATAGTCATTTATACCTATTTGTCGAAGAAATTTTGCATGATTGATTATCATTTATTTCTATTTCTTAAAGAAAATGAATAAACGAGTTTGATTATTTTGTAAACACCAGGTCATTATTTTGAAAAGACGGCCAATTCTTAATTCTTTCTGATACTACCAAAAATCGTACCTGATGATTTTTCGAGCTTGATGATTCTGGTTGATCACGATCGTGGTCTTCCGGTACCTGAAACAAAGGCAACGAGGTGTGTTCTCGTCGCCCCTCCGATGCTTAAGTCAGAAAGGGAAATATATGCGTGAAGCTATGTGCTGAAGAAAAATGAAAAAATGTACCTGAATAATGGTTCAAGGTTCTGTATTTATAGTAGTAAGTGACATTCTTCTAATTGGACTCAACTAGCTGGATGTCTTCATCTGTTGGAGTCCTGAATAGTTAAGGAGTTAGTTGAATTCCAGAATTATATGTGGGATAGGATTCTTGTGGGAGTTAAGATTCCTAATTGCATAGGAATTCTAAAGGGTCAACCATCGTCAATTGTGAGGGGAGCATATGCCCGAGAACTATGCTCGAGGACAAAATGTTTGCAATATGCGAAGCAGCATGAGATGTGGTCGGGCCTACTGTCTCGAGGATGAACATGCTCGAGGACATTGTAGATGGATTTACAACTTTACCAAAAATAGTCGTCAGGATATGTGCTGATCGGGGATATTGGAAAATGTCACCGTCATAGGCCCCCGTGCATATACGCTCGAAGACATCCTCGAGGATATGATGCAAAGAGATTGGAAATAAAAGCTCGAGTTTTTAGCTCGAGGATTTCTGAACACCTGTGATTGATCAGAAGGTTGACGTGTATTGACGTCAGCCCTAGAATAGAAAAAGGCGGTAAAAACTGGTAGGGGTGGATGTAGGACACGTGTCCAGATCTAACGGTCGGGGTAGTGACCTTTGGGCTTCCTG